CAAAAAAAAAGGTTTTGATGTTAGAAAAAAATGGTGGGCAAAATTAAAATGACTTTGAACGGCGTTTTTTTAAACACTGGATAAAACACAAATAAAAATCTGGGCCAAAGTGTCGGGCCCAAAAAGGGGGGGGGGGGGGGGGGGCAGCCGCCCCCCCTCCCCCCCCCCCCCCCCCCTCTAGCTACGGCTCTGCAAGCTTCGTAAGGCTACTAAATGGGATGATATGTTCTATTATATTTCAAATAATTTCTTTTGAAATGCTAATACTACAATAATGGTTTCCCGACCTTTGTCGAGACGGTTAACTGTCCCTGCACCAGTAATAGTATTCGAAGTCAAGTTTTTAATGCAACTGACCGATTATGACCTTTTTCCTTGGGCTTGTATTCAGTTAGTTTCTTGAGAAGTAAAAATACCTTGTTGTAAAGTGTAAAATAATAACAACAAAAATTATTACCTCAACATTATTGTGGGTAATCTATTTGCTCTCACCAAATTCAAATGTGACGTCATCACCAATGAGCACGAACGGTGCCCAGTGATTTACAGCGCTAAATTCTCTGGATTCTCTCATGCAATTCATTGCTTGGTTTAGGGCTTTACTAGCACTCTTTCCTTCCACAAGATGCTGATAGAAATGTTTCATAAACTCAAGAGTGGCCTTGTCGTCAATCGCCCACAATGATACCAGAACAGAGCGAGCACCAGCACCTAAGAATGCCCGTGCTATGCCGACCACACCCTCTGCTTTGATCTCGCCGTGAGCACTGTGGCAGCAACTGAGTACAACCAGCCTTGCACGCATCTGAACACGCTTTACATCTTTCATCGTCAGAATAAAATCCATCTCACCATTTTTGGGTGCTAAGGCAATTTCGCCTGCTTCTATGCTGCCATGTGCAGCGAAGTGGACCAAAGCAACTGAGCCGAGTCGTTTTAACACCTCATCTTTTGTGGCCTGTCTTCCAATAAGAGGCGTACAGCCAAGTACTCTACCAATCATCTCTACTTCCTGTCTGGCAAATGGCAACTGTTCTAACGTCGTCACATCTTGCACCCACGGATCACCGACTAGAAGCACGCCCGATGTGAGATGATGATCTACCGGACAATCCGCAATCATTTTTAAGCTGGTGAGGGATGGAGCCACGCGAATTCTGAAAGATTAGCAAAGGTACTTGGAGTCTGGTCCCTTGAATGCAGCAAATGGAGCTAAGCAAAGTGGACCGTCTGGAATGAATACGAGTTCACTGCTTGAAAAAAGATCTTGAATAGGATTAATGACAGTGTCGTAAAATGTCTAGAGGTATTTTTGAAATGTTTATTGCGTTATGACCAGTCACTGACGGACCAACAAGAAATAATTACCGTCGTTGAAAGGTGGATCTGTGCATGTTTTTGTCCGTTCAAAAATTTGTCCGGGTCCGTGTAAACGGGGTCTAAGAGATCTACGATCATAAAGATAAGTCTTGAGACGATTTGCTCTCTGTTCCTTTTACACTCGCGAAATAGACAGTCCCGCGCGAGTGAAACCACACATGTAACCTGCGTAGCAGGCGCTTAGAAGAAATACGGAGCTTAAGCAACGACGACGGCGACGGCTACGAAAACGTCACTTAAAACGTGAATTCGCGCTGCTTTAAACTTTATCGCGCTTATTCCATCTCGTTTAATTCGTCAAATGTTGTCAAATTTTTTTGGAGTTGAATTCTAAAGGATTGTATCAAAAGTCAGGAAAAGAAAAAGAAAGTTGTTGTCGTGTGTTCCCGTCCTCGACAAAACGTGAAATTAGGTTCTTACTAATAATAATAATAATAATAATAATAATAATAATAATAATAATAATAATAATAATAATAACATTTATTTATACCGCGCAAATTCAACTATACAGTTTTCAAATGCGCCACGTTGTAGTCGTGCAATGACGGCTAAGAGTGATGCATGTGCAAAGTTGTTGTTTTGCCAATCTAAACCTATTGCTTTTTTGCCGTTGTCGTTGCCGTCACCGTCGTCATTGCTTAAGCTCCCTAATGTGCAAGAAAGCACGGGGTGCGCGATGGAGACACTCCCCTCGCGTGTCTCCCTCGCGCGCCCCGTTCTTTCTTGCGTCCATTACTTTCAAGCCCCTGCTACGCAGGCTACCAAACATGCCCATGCACAACCTTCGAAATTCCGCTTCATTTATAGTCTGCTACACAGCCGTTTTTAGTGTCGTCACGCAACGCTCCTCCTCACAAAGTGGCGAGGAGCGTTGCGTGACGACTCCTAAAAACGGCTGTGTAGCAGACTACTTCATTTATGGACACGGTAGAAAGCGCTCAACTGCTTTGCAACTATACAAAACATCAAGGCTATCATCAATTACTAGGTAGTGGTTGTTTATCATTTACATGGGGCAAACCGGTCGGTTCCGGTTTGGGCAAATAATAGTACGCAAAATTCAGGACTGGTAAATTTCGTCCTGGAATCGCCATCAGTATTTGCACAAATCAGTTCCATTTACCAGAAAACGGCCACGAATCCCTGAAACTGGAATCAAAGATGGCTTTGAAGAAAGGTTACAGGAATTTCCGTTTGGAACATTTCAACCGGGAAAACAGGACTACCTATTCCGACGTTCCGTTGCTCCCGGAAATTTTCCACTGAAACGACCCGAAAAGTCATGTTCCATTTACTTTCCAACCGGATTTTCCGGAAACTTTTAATAATACAAATGGTAAAAAAGCTGTATTTGACTGGTGTTAACTCATAAATGTATCCCTCTGTCAAGTCCAATAATTAATGGGGTTAAAGAATTATTTAACCGTAGAATTAACTTTAATTTTATACAAGCTCCCGCTCAGCTTATTAGAAATCACTAAATGTAACTTTTGATACATACAGACCTGTACTGAATGTTTCAATTCGCAATAATATAAAACATTCGCGTCCGATTAGTGTGGGTTGCACGTGCACAATAGAGACCTGAAGGCTCGCCATTGTAAATACCCATAGACATTAATTTCCCGCTCATATTTTATCTAATACTAAAAATTATTCCGTAGACAAAAAGATTCCCATTTCGTCAAAGTAGATATACATACATCAAGTAGATAAACATTTTCTCCTTAAGCCTTAACATTAAAAAGGAAACACTGATAAACCAAAGGAAGAGCGTGGCGAATATGATCCATTTCTATTAATATAAGAGTTTACCTAAACCAAGATAAATGGTTCTTAGCTGGTTTATCCGTTATGCACACCTGAGGAAAAAAAAAAAAAAACAGTTAGTGATTGAAGCCGACAGGAATAGAAGGGTCCTAAGGATAGTTTCACCTGGGATCATGATTGCGGGCTCCTTTGGTCGCTTGCAAAAACTGAAGCGAAAGCCGCATTCTGAATGGCTACCCGAGTGGGCGAGAGCGCCCGGGATTTACCGCGTTGGTCCCGCAAATAAAATATTTGTTTTTGGCCATATGATAAAGTTCGGTTATAGTTCGGTGAAGATAGCTGGATATTGGCCTTGTTTTTCCTTTTTTGACTTCGACTTTGACTTCGCTTCGGTCAATAAAAACGCACAAAAACGCCTGGTTAATAACGCATATTTATTGTCGTTAAATGTGACAACGCTACGTCCTGACAAGGGATTCATTTGCAATGTGACGACTTTTCGTGCTAAACATACTAAACATACTCAAGCTAGGGCCGTAGCTAGGTTTTTTGTAACGGGGGGGAAGGGGGTGGGGGCATTATCGCGACATACATGCACGAGCCTTGTATGGGGGTCTGGGGGTGTCCTCCCCCCACAAGATTTTCAAATTTGGAGGCTCTGAAACGTTATTTTCAGCACTTGTCATGAGATTTGTCTCCAAAAAATCGACCTCGAATATGAAAATGGCATACAACCGCAAGTCACTATAATCAAAATAACTGAGTCTAAAGAAAACAAATCGATCCACAGACTTAATGGGCCAAATATTTAAACGAAGTCTAACTTAAGCCGCGGTTTAACGAATCTTTGAACCTCCAGATCTCTCCTTTGGTGAGTTGTTTTAAGAAGAAAAAGGCTTTTCTAGTCTTCTCTATATGCTTTTATATAAAACTCTTCACAATAAAGGATGTTCAGTTTAGATAAAATCGTTGGGCAAATTGAAAATGACTTAGAACGCGGTTTTGTTAAACACTGGCTAAACTACGATTAAATATCTGGCCCAATGTGTCTGGCTCAACAAGTGCAGCGGGGGGTGGGGGCAGCTGCCCCCCTTCACCCCACCCCCCCCCCCTCTAGCTACGGCTCTGCAAGCTTCGTAAGGCTACTAAATGGGATGATATGTTCTATTATATTTCAAATAATTTCTTTTGAAATGCTAATACTACAATAATGGTTTCCCGACCTTTGTCGAGACGGTTAACTGTCCCTGCACCAGTAATAGTATTCGAAGTCAAGTTTTTAATGCAACTGACCGATTATGACCTTTTTCCTTGGGCTTGTATTCAGTTAGTTTCTTGAGAAGTAAAAATACCTTGTTGTAAAGTGTAAAATAATAACAACAAAAATTATTACCTCAACATTATTGTGGGTAATCTATTTGCTCTCACCAAATTCAAATGTGACGTCATCACCAATGAGCACGAACGGTGCCCAGTGATTTACAGCGCTAAATTCTCTGGATTCTCTCATGCAATTCATTGCTTGGTTTAGGGCTTTACTAGCACTCTTTCCTTCCACAAGATGCTGATAGAAATGTTTCATAAACTCAAGAGTGGCCTTGTCGTCAATCGCCCACAATGATACCAGAACAGAGCGAGCACCAGCACCTAAGAATGCCCGTGCTATGCCGACCACACCCTCTGCTTTGATCTCGCCGTGAGCACTGTGGCAGCAACTGAGTACAACCAGCCTTGCACGCATCTGAACACGCTTTACATCTTTCATCGTCAGAATAAAATCCATCTCACCATTTTTGGGTGCTAAGGCAATTTCGCCTGCTTCTATGCTGCCATGTGCAGCGAAGTGGACCAAAGCAACTGAGCCGAGTCGTTTTAACACCTCATCTTTTGTGGCCTGTCTTCCAATAAGAGGCGTACAGCCAAGTACTCTACCAATCATCTCTACTTCCTGTCTGGCAAATGGCAACTGTTCTAACGTCGTCACATCTTGCACCCACGGATCACCGACGAGAAGCACGCCCGATGTGAGATGATGATCTACCGGACAATCCGCAATCATTTTTAAGCTGGTGAGGGATGGAGCCACGCGAATTCTGAAAGATTCGCAAAGGTACTTGGAGTCTGGTCCCTTGAATGCAGCAAATGGAGCTAAGCAAAGTGGACCGTCTGGAATGAATACGAGTTCACTGCTTGAAAAAAGATCTTGAATAGGATTAATGACAGTGTCGTAAAATGTGCTCAAAACTCTTTCTTGAAGGTAAAACTGCTGGTTTTGGCTGCCATCTTGAGGTGATGTTTTATCGGGCAGTCTTTGATTCTTTGCCGATTCAAGTGAGCGATCTTCACACTGCACATAATTACGTGCACCGAATTTCTTCAAAAGAGACTGAAAAAAATCTTTGATTTCATACTGCGACCTGATTTGCTTTCTTCTTAATTCAACCTCCTTTCCTTTCCGACAAACCCAGAAAACTAACTCCTTCATATTTCCAATTGCCATAAATATGGTATTCGGAGGAAGACCACTGCACAGTTCCTGAAAGTTTCTGATTTCTTTAATTAATTCCGCATTCTCTTCAAATGCGTAACTTAATTCCATAAGGTCTTTTAGACCCTGTGCCCGTCCTTGCTCGGCAGAAAACAAAGCCTCCGTAACCTTGCCTTCTTCTAACATCAAGGTCCAGAGTATGATGTATAGTCTTTGGTATCGATCACGCAAGCTTATTTTCCACTCGTCGTTCAACTGAAGACTATTTCTAATATTATTGTACAAAGTAACACCGCGCTGGCAATATCTAATAGCCTCTGGGTATTGGCCAAGACATGCAAAATTAGAACCAATATTTCCACAGGCTATTCCTTCTTGAAAAATGTCACCCAGTTCTCTCGCAATTTTCATGGTGCGTTCAAGGTAGTCTATGGCTCTTTTAAAATATCCTAGACTTTGATAGGCGTTACTAAGATTGCCAAGTGCGGCTGCTTCCCCTGATCGGTCTCCCATTTCTTTTGCAATTTTTAGGTCAAGTTCATGATAGTCTATGGCTGTTTTAAAATCTCCCAGTTTTTGATAGGAGCCACCAAGACTGCCATAAATCTTTCCTTCATTCCATTTGTCACCCAGTTCTTTGGCAATGTTCAGATAACGTTCTTGGTAATTTATGGCTGTTTTGTAATTTCCCAGTAAAAAGTGGTCGTTTCCAAGATTTCCGTATGCGGTTCCTTCGCTCGATCTGTCACCCAATTCTTTCGCAATTTTTAGATGACGTTCATTGTAGTCTGTGGCTGTCTTAATATCTCCCAAACTTTGATGGGCGCTGCCAAGATTTCCATAAGCTGTTCCTATAACCGATCTGTCACCCAATTCTTCCGCAATGTTTAGGTGACGTTCATAGTATTCTATGGCTGTTTTAAAATCTCCCAGACATTGATGAGCGTTACCAAGATTTCCACACGCCTTTCCTTCAATTGACCTGTCATCCAATTCTTTCGAAATTTGCAGAATACGTTCGTGGCATTCTATAGCTCTTTTAAAATCTCCCAGTTTTTGATAGGCGTTGCCAAGATCCCAGTATGCCTCTTCTTCACTTGATCTGTCTCCCAGTTCTTTTGCAATTTTCAGGTGACGTTCATAATAGTCTATGGCTGTTTTAAATTCTCCCAGTCTGTAATAGGCGACTCCAAGATTTCCATACGCCTTTCCTTCATCCGATCTGTCACCCAATTCTTTCGCAATTTTCAGGTGATGTTTATAGTAGCCTATGGCTGTTTTAACATCTCCCAGACTTTGATAGGCGTTGCTAAGACAATTGCCATCATCCTTATTGTCCCCCGATCTTTCCGCCGTGTATGTCGCAATCGTGTCGGTTTTCTGTGAAACAAATTACGTGCAATATTTGTTTTTATTATATGGAGGAGAGTGTCTTACTGGGAACTAAACCACTCGTAGGTTCCATACGCTTCATCCGGGACCCGAGTGGCGTATTTTCCGTATGTCACCTTTGTGAGTGTCGTATCGTTCAATGACGTCGAGATTCCCGCCTTTTGCTTTTGTTGAATTGGTTTCTCCATATAATAAAAAGAATATTACACGTTGGCTCGAAGATATGAATTTTATGTTCGAGTGGCAAGAACAATATCTCACGAGTGAGCGAAGCGAACGAGTGAGATATTGTTCTTGCCACTCGAACATAAAATTCATATCTTCTCGCCACCGTGTAATATCCTCTATATATGGGAAAATGACCGGCCCGATTACCGAGCTTGCGGTGACTTTGAATTTTCGCCGAGTACCAAGACGTGAATTGGTCTTTCATAAACTTTTTTGCCTCTCTATTAACAGTCAAATCATCTTCAGATGAAGATGAGTAGTTAGATTTTCTGCTCGATATATTCATTTGAAATCTTTGCAAATTACCTTTATTGATCACACTTGACAAGATGCAAAATGGAGCTTACCAGCAGGGAATCATTTATTATTTATGTCGATACATAAGCTGTGCATGTCGTTGTTGACCATATGTTTATCAAGTTTTTTGTGACTTAAATTTCTTATCATGGTATTTAATTTCGCGTGACTGTGTAAATTTCGCGAGGATTTTTATTCGCGAGGCTTTAATTTCACGATTTTTTTGCAATCGCGAAAATCGCGAAATTAAAGACGCGCGAAATTAATTACGAATAAGGTAACTCCAACAGGGGTCTTTTTTGTATGAGCATGCGCGACCGCTGAACAAGCGATGTGCATGAAGGCTCACCACAGGGTTTGCCTTTATCAAAATGGCGCGTCTCAAAGCGGCAAGTACTTCATGGCTGAATGCCATATACACGACAAGCCCACAATGCCTTGCTTGTACCTGCAATGAAATTGCAGATACTAGCAAGGCATTGTGGGCTTGTCGTGTATATGGCATTCAGCCATGAAGTACGCGCCCTCAAAGCTATCATAGCGATAATTTTGCTCGTTGGTCTTGACGAATGTGTTCGTGAGTTAACAAAATGTGTAGTTTGCAAAAAAAAAACTCTAACATGGTCTTAACAAAAGCGAAGTAGACCGGCTTTAACATACACGAGCTACTATCAAATTTCATCTCCCCACCTGGAAAACAGCGCGCGTGAATTAATATATGTTCTACACTTTTCCCAGCACTTTAAAGCTACAAAATTAAGAGCACACGAGACGTAGATTAGTCACCTGGTGAGATGTTGGTGGTAGTCACTCTGTATGTCTCGAACAATAAAAAAAATGAATATCAATGAGACACAGTCAAAACTGCATTCAATAGGACCGAAATTAAAGTCCAGTCTTGTGACCGATTTTGATGAAACAAACGGTTAGGTTTCCCAAGAAGTACAGTAAACATGTGATGCCGACCAAAAGTTAAAAATCATTAGAACTTTTAAGTTCTGGCTAAAAGCAAATTCCTGTAAAAGATGCGTTACATTGTTAGTTCACGCAAAAACAAGAAGTTCTACAATTTTCCTATAAACAAACTTTGTATCGCTAAAATACTTAAGGCAAAAACTTTCTATTCCAACTGAAAACGACGTGGTAGTTGCCCGCTGATCGTTATTAATCCACTCCTGAAATATGGCTAAATCAGCTATTAACAAATTATTGACAGACTCCTCTACGGCATCGAGAAACTAATTTACATCCGATTTATAGACGAGCACTGAATAAAGAACATTTTGCTCAATAGCTACGCATCAGCAATGCATTCTATGCCAAACTTTGCGGTTCAAGGGGAATCAAGATACGAGTCGAGCGCCAAGCAAAAACAAGCAGCCATGTTCGTGTTAGACATCCTTGAGAAACTTGCTCTTTCACCTCGTTCAGCGCATCAGTCTCCACTTTAAATCAACAGATCTTTACTTATTTTGTACGACGAAGGTCTTTCCTAAGTTCCTGCTACCATTTCAATCTCAAGCAAGCTTTCAAAGTGAACAATTTGGTTCCTATGACTATGCAGCACGGTCGCTGTCACTGGTCGGGTGCTCTTTGACAAGTCAGTGGTTGTGCATGCTCATGCAAAAAAGACCCCCGTTGGTTAACCCGTTGGTAACTGCTTGCTCGTGCCGATCACCAGAAACTCAGTCTTATCATTGTTTATCATCAACTTATCAACGAACATCATATCAGCGATGCATTTCTCCATAGCCCATGATCTAGCGCCTCAGCTTTACACGTACTCTCTAATGGACGAAATGTAATTGTATTTCTAATAATACAGTGAAACCTCTATTAAGCGGACTAACAATTAAGCGAACACCTTCTACTAAGCGGACACTAAGCCGGGTCCCGAAATTAACGTCTTATATTTCCCTTATAACGAACCCCTATTTAGGGGACATCTCTATTAAGCAGACCCAGACACTAAAATAGATTGTATTTGGCTTATTTCTATTGTTAGAAACCTCTGACACCAGACTGAACTGACAATAGCAGTATTCGATTACGTCCTTGAAAAACGTACTTTAGTCGATTAATAAAGATAAATCAATATATTTAGCTGTCAATAAACTGTAAATTAGATCGATATCCGGCCGTATGATTGTCATCCGAGTGTATTATCGTTACTGTCTTTGCATTTACTAACAAATTAAAGTTAGTAATGAAAGTAATGAACTTGAACTCTGGTTAACAACCAGGGGCACCCAACGTCAATTTCGGAAAATATCTGTTCGGAAGACGATTTGAGATCTAGAATTTTCGGAACATTTGTTGCAAAATTTCTTGCTTGCTTACCTCTCCTAGGATTTTCGAACATCTAAAAAATGGTATAATTGCCCATTTTTAACGGATTTTTACCCTAAAAAGCTCACCCAGAATTTTCCTGAGACTTTTTTCTGGCTCAGGAAATTTTCGAAAAGGTAAGTTTTGATCCCTATAATTTTCGGATCACTAGACTTTCAACTAGGATATCCGAAAAGATGAAAAACTTTTACGGGATAAAAATATGCCTATATCTACCATTTAAATACCAAAATACGTTTAACAATGCTATGTTTGAGTGGTTTTGAACTATGTTCTCGTTGGGTGCCCCTGAACAACATGGAACTTTATCACAGTACAGAGTAAACGTTTAATGTTAATCGTTAACAAACATTGTGCAATTTTTACAGGTCCCGAAGGTGTCCGCTTAATAGAGGTTTCACTGTAGTAACAAAATGGTGGAAAATTAAAAAATTTAATGTTATTATTAATATCAAATAACTTCTTAACCAATTGTTTGGAGTACAAAGTTTTACCATCCTCCAAACTTTAGACTCAAACCGATAAAAACTGTAAAAGTATTTACTTGGCTTCAATAAAGTGACCCAAAAGTCGCGACAACCGACTCGGCGTACAAGGCTCTAAAGAAGGAAACTTTTTGGTCGACTCTCCGCTAACGATTGTCCAAAGCCAAAGATAATTAAAGAAAGTAGACTTAAAGCTTGAGCTGGAGAAGTATACATTTGATTTTCACTGGGACTGTTTTCAGTGGTACCCAACGACTGTTTCCTGTAAAACTGTTCTGTTCGGAGAAGCATTGCCTAGAATTTTCTTGAGGACGGCTGAAAATTTGTAGAGGACCATTCCATTCGGGTATAATTTTCGAACCTATCTAATAAATTTCCTGGGATTTTCTGAAGGTTAATGTTTTACATTTTACTGCCCAGGTTAGACTATTTTTCGTACAAAAAAGGAAACCTAAAATTTTTGAATTCAAGAATTAGAATGTGATGGAGATAGGAATCAGAAAAGTTCTTACTTTCGTAGTACGTTAAATTGCATCCAAAATTTTCGGGAAAATAATACTAAAACCCTTGAAATTTCGAAAAGACTCAAGTTCCCCTGGGATAACCGAACAGACACAAATTTTTCAGCGCCGCTTAAGATGCATTTCTAGAAATCTAAAAGTACTCTGGAAAGCCTAAAAAGTATTTTCTATGTATTTAGGAGGAAACCGTCGTTGGGTGCCCTTGTGTTTTATAGCTAGCCAACACTGAGAGCAGACGCCTCTCCCTCAAGATTTTGTTTCACTAGCCGAAAAACGTGACTGCTCCAGCAGCCCATTGTATAACTTGATTAGCTTTCCAAGGTTTTTTTTTTTTTACAAAAAAAGAAAAAAAAGCTTTCCAAGTTTACCCCTCAAATTTACTTAATTTAAGTCTTTTCCCTTCTTTACCTTTTTTGCATGGATCTTTCGCAGGTTCCCTTGTTCTCCCACAGCTCTGTTCCGTAATTCCAACAACCTCTGATTATTCGAGTCCATCTTCAGTTTTGTTAGTTAAATGGTTATAATTGAATATAAAATAAGCAAACAAAGCCAGCAAACTTGAAACAAATGATCTTGAGTCACAAGACGTCTCATATAAAAAGGAAGCAAACCGCAATTTAACGTACTGTACAGACAATTAATGGTGCAACATATTAGAGAGTCCTACGCACGACGGAGACGGGGGTATGAGATCAACCACCGAAAGGGCTGACCTCATCAAAAGGAGGATAATATAATCCCCGCTACACAGGCTGACGTTAATAAAAAGTGATTACAATGTATTGTTTAAAAATGGAAAATGACGTCACCTGAAATGACTAAATTTTAATAGCAACCGATGAAAGAGGATTTAAAAATAGATACAATACTTTTATACATAATTTAGATTTCCGATTTCAAACACTGTGAAAGTTAGTGCTGGCATTGCAACTGCAAGATGTTACTGGTAAAAACAGCTACAAACGAAAGATTCTGGAGATTATGATTACTTAATATATCACATTTTTTAGCAGGGGCTTCTCTCACTTTATTAATGGCGAGA